AAGCAGTCCAGGTCAAGAAACAGAGCAGGTTAGATCTTCCCTAGCAGTCAGCATTGAGATTGGGCTCGTAAGTGCTGAACTTTCAACCTGGGTAAGAGAGGGAAAGCCATTCTCAAAACAAAACAAAAAGAAAAATAAAAAGCCTCATATCTATCCAATGAACTATAGGGCCTTTTCTGGGTCTTTTAATATTTTGCACGTAACAATGAGGTACTTGGACCATCCATCTACTATCTCTTGATCTTTCTGTAGGACCAACTTATCTTCTTTTCTAATCATTTATTTCCTGAATGATCTGTTTTACACCACTTTTTTTCCATATAAGTCATTGGTTTTGTACACATACATATGTATATGTATGTGTGTATATATACGTATAGTGGTTATAAATAGCCTTCAGAATATTACCTATATGGTGTTCACACATACATATATATGGTGGGGGTATATATGCATGTATGTGCATTTATGTATGTATGTATATGTGTATACAGACGTCTTTTGCATAACTCTTAGTTTTGGAAGGTTGTGGTATTCTATGATTCACAGACAGAATCACATGTTGGCTTTAGAAATATGGCACATTCATTCACTTATTAAGTACCTGCTGTTTGTTGGCATTGTGCTGGTCGCTGAGGATATGAAGACAAACAATGTTGCCTCTGCCCTCGGGAGCTTCTTTTATATTGGTGGGAACACTATATGCACAGATGGATAAATGCAAATGCACCATCCTCAGTTGCTTCTCACACAGAGAAGCTTCTTTATCTCTAAGAGTACTTTGGAAACCTAAGATAGTTACAGTTTGCCATTTTCTATGAGAAGTCTGCAAGAGATTGGTAGTCCAACTGTCATCCTGAAAAGAAATAGATGTGATGGTTGAAGAGAAATGAAGGTAATAAGAAAGAATATGAAGAGAACTTCTTTTCTGCTAATATAGTTTAATTCTTATAAAGAAACATTTTAAAGAGAATTTCTTGGTTCTGTAAAGAGACTGAAGAGATTTCACTGTCATGCTAGAAAGGAGCCTGTTATACATATCTGGAGAGAGATTAGGAGAGGACAGAAATGGATATAGTTTATATTTATACCTTATATTGAAAATAAATAAGGCAAGGATTGTAGAGAGACTTTGGCTGCTATCTAGAAAAACTGAATGGAGGGACCATGTTTCAGAAATGAGGATAAGTCAAGAGGAGTGATAGTGATTAGAAGTGATTCTGGATGTGATCTTTTTCCACAGCTAAAATTCTGTTTTTTAAAAAAGTATGTCCATTATTATCTATTTTTCTGTTAATAAATAGTACTATAGCCAGTAACTCTAATATTAGATTAGGGGGCTTGATATATATGGAGAGAGGTGAGCAATTGCTTCTGGGAAAATTGGTTTCTCTAGTTTATTAAATAAGTAACATTTGGATAGTGTATAAAGTGTTTTGGAAACCTTAAAGTATAAATGCTAGTTATTAGAAAACTGGGAAGGTGACTCAAAGATAATTGATATACTAAAGAAAAGGAAGTAGTAATTCTAATAGTTAATAGAGAAATATCCAAACATACTCCTGGGTTATGTTAGAATACGGAATGAATATGATACATCAAGTAGCGGGCTGAGGGGTGAACACCTTATAAGCTATGTATGAGTGTGGTCAATTTTAAAAACATATTGCACAAAATATACACAAATTGAATTATGAAAAGGGGAAAGACTAACAACTTCAGGAATCAAGAAAGCCTCATGTAAGAAGTAGTACCCGAGGATATTTTTCCTCCATTTCTTTCATTTAAATTTTCTTTTTATTGTAAATTCAGCAATTGTGAACAAATATAAACATTCTATTATACCAAAAAAAACCCAAAATGAGATTATATATGAAACTATGAACTCCTGCATATTATATATATCATGGAAGCCACAAAACTGCCGTGCTTATGTTCCATTACACCTTTTTGTTCTTTTCTGTTCACTTTTTGATGTTTCATTGATGTCTTTTTTCTTTTCTTTTATTTTTTGCATCTCTATCACTACCCACTAACTACCCCCCCACATAAAACCTCTCCTTTAAGAAATAAGTGTAAGCAAGCAAAAATAATTCAACCTATTGACTCTGTCTGAAAATGCATGTCTTGTTCTGCACATCTAATCCATCACCTCTCTAAGGGATAGGTGGTATGCTGTTTTATTGATCTTCTCAAGTCATGATTGGTCACTACATTGGTCAAAGCCTTATATTCCTTCCTTATATTCTCTTTGCATTATTGTGGTCATCATGTAAATTTTTCTCTTGGTTTTGTTTATTTAACTCTGCATCAGTGCATACACATCTTTCCAGGTTTCTCTGAATTTTTCGTATTTATCATTTCTTACAGTGCAATAATATTCCATTATATTCATGTATCACAATTTGTTCAGCCATTCTCTTATTGATAAATACCCACTTTTTTTCCAAATTTCCTGTTACAACAGAAAATGTTGCTCTAAGTATTTTTTATTCATATGGTTCCTTTTTCCCTTTTCCTCTGTATTTGACCTTTTTACAGGATATGTCAAGCAGTGGTATCAACAACGTAGTGATATAGGGGGAAGGGGTTTAGTTCCAAATTGCTTTCCTAAATGGTTGGGGCATTTCACAGCAGCACCAACAGTGAATGCGATAGTGGAGTTATCTTGCCCAACTCACTCCAACATTTGCCATTTTCATATTTTGTCACCCTTGCCAATCTGGTTGGTATGAAGTATAAATAGAGAGGTTCTTAAATTTGAGTTTCACTTATTATTAGTGAGTTGGAACATTTTTCACGTAGTTTCTTTATCTGAAACCTCTTCACATCTTTTTGATTATGTATTGAGGAATGACTTTTACATATTTAATTATATTAGCTAACCATGTGTTTTGGATATTAGACTTTTATCAGAGAAATTTACTACAAAGATTTTTTTCCCCTCAGAAACTGTTTCCCATCAAATTCTAATTTCATTGATTATGCATGGTTCTTGAATTGAGCCATGAAAGAAACTAGGAAATCTAAGAAGCCATGGTGAAGAGGGAATGCATTCCAGGCTATTGAGGGGTAAGCCTGTGCAGAGGCACAGAGGTAGAAGATGGAATGTCATGTCTGTAGAATATAAAATGCATGAAGAGTGCAAAAAGCATGGAAAGATAGAATGGAGCTAAGTTTTGAGACTTAAACGCCAAACAGAAAAGTTGTTTTATCCTCTGCTTCAGTTTCCTCATCTGAAAAATAATAATAATAGCATAGGATAATAATAGCACCCACCTCCCGGGGTTGTTCACATAGTAAGCCCTGTGAAAACGTTATCATCGTCATCATCATTATCCTAGAAGCAAAAGGGAGTCAATAGAGTATTTTGAGTAGAGTAGGGACATGGTAAGACCTATCTTTTAGGAATACTTATTTGACTCTGTTCTGTTGAGTTCTGTTGAGGACTGATTGAAGATAGAAGAGACTTAAGGCAAGAAGATTAATTAGAAAGCTATTGCAATAATCCAATTGAGAGGTGATAAGATCCTGACCTAGGTTAGTGGTCAGGTGAATGGAAAAAAGAGAATGGATTGAGACATGTGAAGGTAGAAACAACAAGATTTGGCAGCTGAATTGAGAGAAAGAGAGTAAAAATGAAACATCAAAGATTATTTCAAACTTTTATGGAAGGAAGTATTTGGAGATTGTTGAAAGCTTTATGCAATTTCCAAATTTAATCCAGCTGCTACTCTTACTTCCCATTCAATTTTGAGCCCAGGTTGATGAACTATCCAACTGTATGCCATAGTCTAGGCAATAGTAACTCCTTATTCATTAAGTGTCTCCTTTGTAGATTCTTAGGATGACCTTATTTGATTGGCTGTGGATCTCATTAAGGAGGTCATGTAGTGTTCTACTGATGATATCAGCACAATGTCATCCACAAATAGGAACCTCATCATCTATAGGCCTTCCTCTTCCATTGGGGTATTGCACAAAACAACCACTGTGATGTTGGTGAACACCTTTGATATTCGTCTCTTTCTCTGTTTTTTGCCTTATTGAGTAATGATAATCAGAAGATATAATAATAGTATAAATTCACATTTATACAGATGATAGATCAACATAGAAAATAGAAATAGTCTCATCTCCTCCATTTCCTGTTTTTTGTTTTCCACTTTCATAAATGTACTTGGGATAATGTAATTTAGTTGAATCTCCAATTTTTAATTCTACTCCTTTCTACCATGTTATAAGGGGATGTTATGTACAATCTTCTGCCACTCTGTAATGTTTTGAAAATGCTTGTTGTCTAAATTTCCGTTGCCTTTCTTTGGCTGCCATGTCTCTCCACTTTTCAAGGGAATCAAGTATTTAGTGTCATTGATGAATTTAAGCAAAGATTATAATCAACCCCTAAGTAGAAAAATAAGAAGTATAAGATGAAGAAAAGAGAATTATAACTTCATTATACTGTTCAGTGGCTTTCTTTTGCCATTTTAAATGGAAATGTTGCTTTCTCTCCACCTACTTCTATAGAGAAATTATGTGGATTGATAAAAGATCTACAAAGTGCTTTGAATTCCTTAGGAAAAAGCATTAAAGAGTGTGGAGGGGGAAATTACAAGAGAAAAAGGAGACTTGTTAATAAATTATTTGAATGAAGTTAATGACTTCATTTGAATTTCAGTGAAATCTTGGAAATAGAAACCAAATATAAATGATCATTCTGTATCCTCATGTCATTGTTTTTTTTTCTATTAGACTTCATATTTGCTGTTTCCCGAGCTTTCTCAAAATACTGACCCTATGATATCACAGAAGAATGCCTACAAGTTATTAGTCCCTGTGTCATTAAGCAAAACCTCCAGTTTCATCCTCATATTGCACATCTCAATTAGAGGTTTGGATGAGTTGTGCGTGATATAAACATGTGAACACATGCACACGTACAAAGCCAAGAATCTTTGGAAATATTATAGACTTTCATTTTTTTTCTCTGTTTTTCTCAGGGGACATTTAAACTGGCTTCAGCTAGATCGCAGAGTGTTGGAACATGACTTTCCCAAAAAGTCAGGACCTGTGGTTTTATACTTTTGTGTCAGGTATGTACACAGGGTATTCACATTCCTTCATGTATTTTCTTTCTTTCTTTTTTTTTTTGTTGTTGTTTGGTGAGGCAATTGGGGTTAAGTTACTTGCCCAGAGTCACAACAGCTAGTAAGTGTTATGTGTCTGAAGGCAAATTTGAACTCAGGTCCTCCTAACTCCACGGCCGGCGTTCTATCCACTGTGCCACCTAGTTACCCTACCTTCATGTATTTTCACAGAAAGTTTTGGAAAGCTGAAAGTGGTAAACATAAAAGTGTAATAAAGTTTCTTGGTTCATAATGAAAATGTGTATCTAATAAATGCTACATGTATTATATATTTCTACATACATATGTATGATATATACCTACAAACATTTATTTGCCTCTCTCTTAAGGTATCTATGTCAGGGCAAAGGGAGGGGTATAAATATATTATTTAAATGAAACTAATAACTGCATTTGAATTTCAGTGCAATCATGGAATACAAACAGTCTATAACCCTTTCAGTTGTAATGTAGAGCACAATAATGGGAATGTGAGTTAAATGAATCAAGATAAGAGTCATGATTTTATTCCCAAACATGTTAAATCCTACTAATCTATTACAGTAACATATACACTTTTTCTATGCAAATACTTAGAAAACTCGAGTCCTATACTATATAACACTAATGTTTCTTTTGTAGTATCAGGTGTCCCCACACCTTTGTGTTCCCAAATAAGAATATTCCTTCCATTGCTATAACTAGCTAATTTATCCCCTAGTGAGAGAAAAAAATGCATGACAAAATATCAGAAACAATTGGAAGTGTGTGTTTCATTATCCTATTAGAAGAGTGTTCATTGTGTGTTTGCAAAGAACTTTATTATTCATGATTAGTTAACCTTTGCAACAATCCCTTAAAATTGGACAGAATTATTGCTTACATTTTATAGAAAGCTTTGTGGTGTCAGAGAGAGGTCAAGTAACTTAAGCCAATGTATAAATCAGTCAAAGTCAGAATTAAAACTCCTGGCTCCAACATCTCTTGTTTTTGGCTTAGCCCAATGAACCATTACCCCTTTCTAAATACATACAACATAGAGTGATTAAGGACACTTTCAAGTTCTCCTGTCTCTTTTTCAAAATGCTTGTTGAATTCAAATGCACAATAATTTTCAACCTCTACATTTTCCTAGTTCTCTTAAAAATGTGTTAATACAGATTCAAAAAGTGGCAATAAACAATTTGCGTAACAATTCCCAACAGGGAAAAAAATACGATTCGGAACTCTAAAGATTATGACCAGTGATGCAATTTTAGTCACAACCAGCCTGATGATATAAAAAGTACACAAAATGAGCTTGAATCCAAAGAGTACATACATCATAGGTCCATTTCACAAGGTGCAGTATGAATCCTTAACCCCAGCTAGTTAGGTACATTTAAGCTAAAATGTAGTATTTTTTTGATTTAACAGCTGCATACATTTTAGAATTAATCTTAACCATTTCCATCACTGATGGGAAAGATTTCAATATTATAATTCTCTCAGTGGTGCCTACGATATCTCATATTAATGGAGAGGTAACCATGTTATGAAGAAAGAGAAAAATTCTCCTGGGAAAATTCCATCCTCAGCTGACTTCAGTCGAGGCAAAGAATTTGGATTTGAGGGGTTCATTACCTGGGGAGAGTCAAGAGAATGAGAAGGCTTAGCACTTATTGAATCCCTCCCAGACATAAACACTGTCATACCCCTACCTACCCAATCCACAGATATTAACCAAAAAAAAAAAAAGGAAAACATTTTGGTTGTTGCATTTAGAGACTCTTTTCCCCCTCTGCCCATCTTTTCCCTCAAGAGTCTGTTATCCACTAGGAGCTAGAAACTAATGGCTTTTTGGAAGCTTGAGGCACACTAAGGTTGATAATGTAAATGTTTGTCCCTGAGGCCACACAAACTACTGAGAGCTGGCATCTCACTGGTAAAATAGACCATCCCAGAAGAATGTGCTAAAGTAAAACAACCAGCTAATAATTTTGGAGTAACTAGAGGTGAGAATTTTATGGTTCTTTCCCACTGATTGTTTCTCACACTCTATTGATCTTGCAGTATATTCACAGTAGGACCAATGAAGAGCTGAACACCAACCCATTACCAGTTCTGAAAGACAGTTCAGAGTACGTGTCTAGGGACACCAGACTAATAGAATGAGTGTTCTGTCCACCAACCCCACCCCTACATCTTTACATGAACTGCTTGCTGTGTATCCCCTACATCCCCCCCAACCTGTACAACTGATTTTTTTAAACTTAAGTGTAGAATTTTATGTCGTTCCCTATTAATTTCATCTTGGTCGTTTTATCCTATCATTCTGGCATATTGAAGTAAATCTTTTTAGATTTTTGACTCTGCCATCCAGTTCTTTGTGCTCCAAGCCTTGTATCATTTTCAGGTTTAATAAATTGGTCATCCACCTATTCATTTAAGGCATTGATAAAAAATATTGAACAGCGAGGGCCAAAGAAAGTTCCCTGGTGTATTCTCCCAGAGACCTTCCTTCCTGCTGACATATAGCAATTAATTATTGTTGATTCGTTCTGGAAAGAATCCCCAGCAAAATTGTTACATTTTTCCAATGCTGACTACATGCTGTATTCTTTATAGAGGAACAGGTATAATCTTTATGAATCTTTATGAAGATTCCAGACCTTGGAATCTGTTTGAATCCAGAAAAAATTTCTCTCCATCTAGGATGTTTCCCAGTCTGTGGTACCTGACCTTCCTTATCAGGGAAGCTGGTGGAGTCCATTCCATTTAACACAAATATCTACAACCTCAGCCAAGCCATCCATTAAACATGCATATCTTAAAAGCAGTTTGACTCTAGAGAGTCTCGTAATGTCATTTCTACATTGGTTTAAAAAGCAGTATCTATATAACAGATCCATGCTCAGTTCAGGTGGTGATTAGCTTTTCCTTTGCCTTAGTGAGAAGGGAAAATTAAATCACCCTCATAAAAGAGGAAAGTGGAAAAGATCAAATGCCTTAAGCCAAGCTTTGGAAGCTCATAGAATATAAATATTCCCACATGTTCTATATTGGATACCATCTCAAGATGGCTTTTTATTTGGCATATGTATATTCTTTCACAAAAACACATTCTTAAGACGTGTATGAGAGATGGAACAAAATTTTCATGCTGATTCAACAAATTAGGAAGCAAAGATGCCAAAAGGTTAAGTAACTTGAGTAAAGGAATGAGTCCGTAAAGTCCTGAAATTCAAACTCCCTTTCTAGTCTTCAAAACCAGATTGTGCCTTTCCGACCAAGTTACCTTCTCAGGATATCCATAGCCAGTGACCACTGTTGAGTTTCTTCATTTCTACAAAATGAAAGATTGAATCAGGTGACTGCTCAAGTTCCATTAGTTCCTAAATTTCTTTGTCCATGAAAAACAGTGTCTAGAATCTAGGTTTTCATTGATTTGTCTGGGTACCCTTTCTTTGGACTCTCTGCCTCAAGGTGCTCCCCTCTCAAATTCATTTTCCACACAGCTGCTAAAATGCTATTCTGAAAGCATAAGCCTGACCATGTCACTTCCCTGCTGGAAAAGTCGTCTCCAGTGACTTCCTCTTGCTCCTAGGATAAAATGCAGTCTTGAGTGGGGGTAGGGTTGGGGGTGGGGGGAGAGCATTCACAATCTTGTAGACCACATTCCAAACCAACAGGCCTATTTATTGTTCCTTGTTCACAATATTCCATCTCCCATCTCTTGGCTTTTCCCAAGGCTTTTCTCTAAGCATGGAATCCATCCTCTCCTCTCTTTCATCTCTTAGAATCCCTGGCTTCCGTTTTTCTTTTTAATTTATAGAATAAAACAAGAATTTCCATAACATAGTACAAAAAAAAAAGACTGCACATGAAACTGCAAATCTACTATGTACAACTTGCTAAAATATCATGTAAATTTTTTTCTTTCTTCCCTTTCTCCCAACCCCCCAGAGATGGCTGCTATTAGACCCAAATAGGTATAGATATGTAATTGTCTCCTCCTATATGAGGTCTCATCCCCCAGCTATAGCATCTCTTCCCCATACTTACACATACATACACACACACACACACACACTGTATATAAGTACATATTTTTCCCCTACAGAATGAAATCTCCCTGAGGACAGTGACTGATTTGTTTTTTTATTTCTATCCCCAGTAACTAGTATGGTGCCTTGGATAGGGCACAATGCCTCAGATTATTGGTATGATAACAGAAGTGTTTCCCCAAAGTCCTTATGGTAATTATTACTTCAAAAGAGACATGAGAACTATTAATGGAAAGTGACCCATAAGAGCTTATCACCAGTCTTGCTTCTTATGAAGAGTGGCTGAGGAAAGTAAGCTTCAGGTCAAGGATTTAAGACCTTGAAGCTTTAATTCAAGCTCTGGCCCTGATATTCTCCCCTCCTAGCCTAAACCTCATTTAGAAAACGTGTATCTTTGATTTGAAAATGAGGATCAGTAAAGCATCAAAGCAAGTTTTAAGTGGAAAGGACAGAGAACTTGGGAAAGGCCTGAGGCTCATCCTCCACTTGTAAGAAAGTAAGAGTCCTTTTAAAAATAGAGAACCTCACTAGAAGGGAAGAACTCAGAACCTTAACCATGGGGAAGGCAAATGCTCTGAGAAACTGAGGGCACATAAATATAGAAAATATTCATTTACTAACCTAAGGATGCTAGGTCATTAGGAAAGAAGGTTAAATTTTATATTTTTTGACTCAAGTACAAACAAGAAACTTGGGATTTTTCAGTATAGAGAACTTATCTTAGTAAGAGCTTACTTACTATGAGCTAGGTACTACTGGGCATATAAAGAAAGTCATGTAAAGAAAGTAAAAAGCAATCCCTGCCCTTACAAAGCTTACATTCTAACAAGGTACAAACATATAAATCACTAGCTGTACGTGAGCTATATCCAGAGTAAATGGAAGGTAATCAGCATTTAGAGGGACAGGTGACAATCCCCCTGAAGAAGGTGAGATTTGAAGTAAGTCTTGGGAAATTAGAAGGTAGAGGTGAGGGGGAAGAGGTGAGAGGGCAAAGCATTAGGAGCTGGCATATTGAGTTCAAGGAAGGGCAAGTAGACCTGGGTTGTAGCTAAACTGTAAAGGATTGAGAGGTGAGGGGGGAGGGGAAAGGATAGATTGGAAATAAGAAGACTAGAGAGGGAGGAAGGAGGAACCTTATGAAAAGCTTTAACTGTAAAGTTCGTATTTGATCTTAGAGGTAATGAGGAGCCCCTGGAGCAGAGGGATGACATACTCAGACTTACACTGAAGCAATATAGGGAGGTGATAACACCTATACTTTAGAAAAAACAGCAAGGTGGCACAGTGGATAGAGCACTGGGCTTGGAGTCAGGAAGACCTGAATTTAAATCCAGCCTCAGACTATTCCTAGCTGTGTGACCTTGAGCAAGTAACTTGATTTCCTTTTGCCTCATTTCCTCAACTGTAAAATATGGATGATATCACATTGACTTTGTGGGGTTGTTGTGAAGATCAAATGAGATAATAATTGTAAAGCACAGTGCCTGGCACATATGCCCTATATAAATGCGAGCTTTATTGTTGTTGTTATTTAAAGTGGCCTTAGCAGCTGGGTGGCAGATGTATCCAAAAGGAGAAAGAAATGAGTCCAGAAGACAAATTTTTGTTGTTGTTCAGTTGTTTTCAGTCACATCCGACTCTTTGTGACCCAATTTGGGGTTTTCTTGGCAAAGATATTGGAGTGGTCTGCCATTTCCTTCTTCAGTGAAGGCAAATTAGAATACTACTATTGAAGACACATAAGCTGTAGCCCAGGCAGAAGTAAAAGAAATGGAGTACTGGCCCTGGATTCAGAATGACCTGAGTTCAAATCCGGCCTTAGACATATAATACTCGCTAGCTGTGTGACTCTGGGCAAGTCACTTAACCCCAATTGCCTCACCAAAAAAAAAAAAAAAGTAAAAGAAATGGAAAGCCTAACTTAAGGTGTTGCCTGTGTGGGTAGAGAGAAGGGAATGTGCATGATGGTTGCTATGGAGGTAAAAACCACAAGATCTGACAACAAATTACATATATATGTCTGGTGAGCAAGAATGAGAAGTAAATGATGACAATGAGTTTGTGAGCTTGGGTTATTGGGAGGTTTGCCATGCCCTTCATGGAAATAACAAAGTTCAAAAGAAGGTATGGTTTGGGGAAAAAAAACAATGAGTTTGGCCTTGGACATGTTGAGCATGAGATGCTTAGAGGACATCTATTTCAAAATGTCTAAAACGTAACTGATGATAAATGAGTTAACTCAGCAGAGATGCTGGGGCTGATCATACAGATCTGGGAATCATCTGCATAGAGATAAGTGAAATCCTAGGAGCGGAAGCAATCACCAGATGAAAATAGCATAGAGCCAAATGAGAAGAGAGACCAGGAGAGAGTCCAAGGAGGGCATCTGTCGTTAGTGAGTGTGTCCTGGATAAAGGACTAGCAAAAGAAATGGAGAAAGAACAGTCAGACAGAGAGGAGAACCAGGATGGAGCAGTGTTACCAAAGCCTACAGAGAAGAAAGTGTCCCCAAGTTGGTGATCAACAGTGTCAAATGCTGTAGGGAGATCAAGAAGAATGACAACTGAGAAAAGGCTGCCAGATTTGGAAGTTAAGAGATCATTGGTAACTTTGGAGGTAGCGCTGTCAGATGATACCAGGGATATTGTCCTTTACATTATTCATGAACATCATAGGATCATAGATGTGAAGCTGGAAGAGATTTTAGGAGTCACCAAATCCAGCCCCCTCATTCTATAGATATAGATACTGAACCCCCAAAAAAGTTATAGGACTATGCCAAGGTTACTTGGTCCCAAGGACTTGTCTTTGACCCAGGTCCTCTGATTCCAAAGGCCCCATGGGGCCTTCTCACAATGTGTAGGAGTAAAGTTAGAAATGAGGTCAGAGAAAGAGTAAATGGAGTGGAAGAAGCAAGAATTTTCTAAAGGTGGTATAGATTATCCATGAAACCTGTTCCATCTGGGGCTCTGGCACCCAAATTTGATTATTTTGTCTGCCAACAAGAAATGATATTTAGACATTTCCCTGTTTCCACCCCGACCATGCTATACCATGTCTTACTCTTCTGCAAAATGGGACAAACCACATAGACAGGATAGAAAGGCTAGGATAGATGGAGTGAGGGAGGCTGCTTTAGAGATATGTAAACAAGTAAGGGACAGGGTCCTGTCCCTTACTTATTTGTACATTTCATACTCCTCTTCCACCTCATCATTATTATTTTGCATTCATCCATAAATTCACAAAACCAAGAAAGTGTCAGAAAGATATTAAGACAAACTGTATGACATTTAAAGGAATGGCTAGTGAACTTCTTGACAGGAAAGCACTCATCTTTATCTTTTCCACTCACTATAGCTTTTAAAAAAAAACCCAACAACCTTCTGGTTTTTGCTGTTAAGCTTTCCTCTACACTCTTTCTGACCTTCTCAGTCTTTCCCATTGATAAGCACCTAGATTATTCAGCCTCCCAATCAAACAGCATTCCAGTATCCATCTTTATTTGGTGCTGTGTTGGATAATGGGCCAAATTGTCTAGTTATTAATAATTATAATTGGTGCAGTCTAATTTTCAAAGCATCTTTTATATTATCTCATTTGACTTTTGAAGCCATCCATTGATGTAGGTTAGGTAAGCATTATTACATTTGGAAAATGAAGGCACAGAGAGGCACAGATAGACTAAATTACTTGTCTGTGGGCACATAACTAGTTAGTAGCAGACAAAAGCCCAAATCTGAATTCTAATCTCTTGTTCTTTCCACTTTATCACATAATTTCCCTTTATATTTTTTTAATTGGACCTGTGTTTTCACCGAATAATAAGCATTTACTTAAGTCCTTACCCTATGCCATGTGGTATAGGGGTAAAATTGTTGGATTTGGTATCATAGAATGAATGAGTTAAATTCCTAAATGTGCTACTTCCTTCCTTGGGCAAGTCATTTAATCTCTCTGGGTCTCAGTTTCCTCATCTGTAAAATAAGAAGTTTGGACTAGATAAACTCTAAAGTCCCCTTATGCTATAAATCTAGGTGCTCCTGAGAGTTGTTGTTTTTTTTTTTTGATCTTGGATAGACCTGTGATTTTATTGATGTAAAAAATTCCTGGAATGAAAACTCCCTCTACCAGTGCAGATGCAAAACTGTTTTAAAACTTACAGCCTTTTATTTTTTTTATTTTAATTTATTTTGATTTATCAACAATCACTTCCATATGCTTTTGAGTTGAAAATTTTTCTCCCCCTTCCTCCCCCCCACCCTCCCCAAGACGG